AACAGATTGCATGTTAAAATAAAATGACTAGAATTTACAAAATAACGTGAAAATATTTCTGGAAAAATTATATCATAATAAAATTATATAATGAATTATTTATTATAGCGTTAACGAAGATTCTTATAATAAAGTCCTGATCAGCTAGATCAGTAACTTCATTTTAAATAAGATTATATAAGATTATTGTTAAACTTATCTATAAAAAATAATCTGAGTTTAAAATAATAACTAAAAATATACTAAAAGAAAATTTTATCTTATATTCTAATACTTTAAAATTAGATTGTAAATATATATAATCCTTAACAAAAAGAATAGCAATTAATTTTTAATACATAAATAAGAATACTAATAAATTATGAATATTTTTTTTATATTCTAAAAGAAAAACAAAAATATATATATTTTTTATTATTTAATTAATATTTAATAAAGTATTTTCTTTATTAATATATGTTTTAATTTTTATTTTATATATTATTTATATTATAATTAATATATTTTAATTTATTTTTTTAATTATTTCTTTATTTTCTCATTATTTAGTGATTATATTTAAATAATAATTATTATTAAATTCTTTTAATTTAATAATTTGAATGATATTCTTTTAATATAATATTTATGTAATAAGATTATTTAAATAAAAATTAGTTAAAATTAATTAATTATATATAAAAGTTATATATTTTTAAAAATAAAATATTAAGTTTATAAAAATTTATTTTAATTTAATAACAAGTTTTTGAGAAAATCAAATATAAAGTTTTATTTAATAATTATTGATTATATAGTCATCTTCCTTTATAGTTAGTTACACTTAAGTCTGCTAGATGAAACCTAGAGATTTTGCAAGTTGTTTAAATAAAAAAAGGTAAAATTTAGTGAAATTATATTAAAACCTTATTAAAAATCTGTGAAATTTTAGAAAAGAAAAACTATATCAAAATCTTATAAAAATGCAAAACTATATTAAAACCTTAGTAAAAATTTAGCGAAACTATAGTTTAAACATTTTGCCAAATCTAAAATAAGTTTAGATAAACAATCTTAGTCACATCTCTCAGGACTAAAAATATAATGTGTAATTATAATAAAAAGTTATTATACAGGAGGATTTTTATATATTGTTACTAAGTGTTAGTTCTGAAAGGGTGTGATTATAAAAATACTGTGATTATATAAGAGATTTTTTATATATTATTTATAGGTATTAGTTTTTATGAAATGTATGTTTATAATGAGAGATTTATATAATATGATTGTAAAGAGGTGACTATAGAGAGGGATGACTGTATTTATAAATAGTAAATTATAATATAAATTAACTTAAGTAAGCAAGTTTATTTTAAAAAAATTGAAACAAATTATAATAGTATTTTAAGCATTTTAAGAAAATTTATAGCAATCTATTTAAACTTTAATTTATAAAAATTTAAAATTATTTAATAATTTAAAAGGTAAAATAAGTATATAATAAATAAGAATAATGTTAAATAATCAATTTAAATTCAATTTTGAAATCTAAATCTAATAGAGTAGATTTGAATTATAATTTAAATTAAATCTAAATTTAAATCTAATTTAAATCTATATAAAATACTAATATTAATATATATTATAATTAAAATTATTAGAGAAAACCTAAAGATTTTACAAATTATCTAAATAAAATTATATTAAACTTTATTAAAAATCTACTAAATTCTTAAAAAGATAAAACTATATAAAGCTTATAAAAATACAAAACTATATTAAATTCTTAATAAAAATTAGTAAAATTAAAGTTTAAAAATTTTGTCAAATTCAAAATAAATTTAAACAAACAATTTTATCTATTATATTAAAAATTTAAAATGAATTCTTAATAGAATAATATTTAATTTTCTTTGTATTTTAAGAATAAATTTCTAATTCTATAAATTATTAATTATGTGAATTCATAAAATTTTTTTATATTCAAATCACATATTTAAACTAAAAACAAATTTTTTTTATTTATTTGCCTATAATTTAATACTTATAATATATTTTTTTAATAATTCTCTTATTACTTATGATATATACATAATATAATAAATATAATAATTGATGTATAATTTATAAAAATTATATTCAAATTATCTTTTCTATAAGAAATCTATAATTAATATAGATATTTACAATCATTTTAATTACTTTAAAAATTAATAAAAATAATTGTTATCATATATAATTTTAGTTTAACTTTTGTAATTTATAAATCAAAATCTAACTTTTTAAAAAAAATGCCTAATATTACATAAAAATATTTTTTATCTAATTAAGTTTATATATTTAATTAGTATTTTATTTAAAATAATATTAAAATATTTTATCTTAATAGGTTTGCTTTCATAATCTATCAGAATGTCATTTTGTAATATTAAAAATTGACTATTATTTATGATATTAATTTTTACTTATTTTTATAATTTTTATCATAATATATTATAATATCTTATTTTTATTATTCATTTGAAAAATATTTAAATAACAAATTTTATTTAAATTTTATTTTATTTTTTCTATTTAAATCAATAAAAATTATTATATAATTTGACTTAAAATCTATTTATATAAATGATTGATAAATAAAAATATAAAACCTTTTTTTTTTTTATTAATAAAATCAATCCTCAAAATTTATTACAAATTGTTTTATTATTTAATATCTATTATATTATAAATTAGATTTTTAATTTAAATAGCATTTAAATATTTACCTGATTTAATAAGCTTATTAATATTCTTATTATAATATTTTGTAAATATATTAGAATACTAGAAAAAATAATAACTAGTTTTTAAGTATAAAATTATTTTATTTTATTCTTAATTCTAATAATACACTTAATATTAAAAATAAAAAAAATCATCAAATTTTTTATATATTTTATAAAGATTATTATATAAATATCTTTATAAAATAATTATCTTATTAATAAAATTTTTATTATTTTTTATAAATTATTTATTTTTAAATTTATAATAAATTTTTTTATTATATATATGATACATTACCTTTAAACAAAATTATATAATATCAGATAAAATTAAAATATGTGATATTTAAGGTAGGATATGAAAAATAAATTTTTTTAATAAAATATTTTAGTTCTCAAAATATATATAAAAAATGAAAAAAGGAGAAGGTATAATATAAGTAACAAAAAAAGGTAATGTATACATACATGTGATAAATAAATTATTTCTTAAAATAATTAATATAATATTTTTTATATTTTAAAAAATTAAAATTAAATAATTATAAATAGATAATTATAATTTATCGCAGTAGTGATATATTGCTATACCCCATGTATCATGTGATTTATTAAATAAATAGCGCAGTGTATTTGTTTTTTATTGTAAGATTTTCTGCAGTGTATTTTTTTTAGCCCATACATCTAAAAACGATTCACAAATTTCCCAAGTAGAAAATTTCTTTCCTTCGTATAAAATTATTGATTCTAGTTCAGTAGGAGAATCTACTTCACCATTCATTCGATTAGAATTATCTATTATAGAAAGATCAAAGCAGGTAGTTAATAGTCGAATATGAATCATTTATCTGATAACAACAAGCTTATCATTAATTACGTGTTCATATTGATGCTAATCCTTTTTTTATAATCTTAGAAGAAGAATATAGCTAATATTCTAATCCTTAACGTTGTTATATCATTTAAAATTCGTTGCATTAACAAACACACTTACTTGCATTATCGCATAGAAATTCTATTTCTGAAGCAATGTCGTCCATGTTAACCTATTTATATTGTGTTTAAAAGCTAAAGAAGAAAAAAAAAATAAAAAAGGAACGAAAAAAAAAACAAATAATGTGGCTGAAATGTAAGAAAGGTAAGTAAAAGGTAAGCAAATAAAATTTTTACGATCATAATTTTTACGATTATCATTGATACAAAAAATATTATCTCATGTCACGTGATTCTGTATATCATAAGATCAAAGCTGCGCAGCCGGTTATCCTGAACTAATCCTTACAACTCTTACCTAATCTAAACCCTAACCCTAATCCTAACCCTAAATACTAACACTAACACAACCTTAAACAGTATCACATACACAGGAAAGCTGTAAATGCATCACTCAAAAATCTCAAAACAATGAGAGAGAATCTCTGACAAATATTAAAAGAATATAGTCCTGAAGATATATTCAATTGTGATGAAATAGGACTATTTTGGAAGATAAAACTATGTTGAACAATATCTAATGAACAAATATCAGAAAAGAAACAATCAAAGGATTGTGTAATGATCCTACTCATATGCAACGCAATGGAGAGTGAAAAGCTGACGCCTTTGTTCATACATAGTATGAAAATCCTAGGGTTATTAAAAATATTGATAAAAGAACACTTCCAGTTGAATACTATTAGAACTAAAAAAGTTGGATGCAGGTTACAATCTGAAAAGATTATGTAAAAAAACTCGATACAAAAATAAGAAGACAAAATCAAAAAATTATTCTTCTTGTGGACAATGCTTTGATACATACTCTTTATGAAACCATCTGCTTGACTAACATCACCATTCAATCCATTCCTCTAAATACCACTGTACACCTCTAACCTTGTGATCAAGGTATCATAAATAGTTTTAAGGTAAGAAATGTAATTGATTTAATAATTTTTTAGTTAAAATAAATATAATTGACATTAACTTTATTTATATTTAATTCAAATTCAACTTATTTTAGGCATAATATCGAAAACTTTATTTACAAAATCAGGTTAAAGCTTTTGATAAATTTAATGAATACTATATCGAACCCTTTGAAATTAATATTAAAAAGTGTATAAAATA